TCTCCTGGTCTGAGGACTGAGTTATTGGGGTGTGGCCTCCCATGGACATTGGGTACCCCAGACCGGGGGCCCAACAGGCTTCCACAGGAACTGAATTTACTGCAGGCCTATATACCACCCATCAGCAAGGTGAGCTGGCAGACTGGTGTTAAAATGTATGTACTGTCACCACTGGGTACCCAGCTCTGTGCTTCACAATATACAGGCTGCTGTTTCGCTCCAGCTTTCCAAATCTTACAGGAAATTTTGTTGTGGTCAGTACTAGCTGGAACCATTTAAGGAGGGAATCCTGGCAAATGTAGTTCCAGTTTAGCTAAAGGGACACAGTATAAAGCCACCGTAACATGCATCCATCCCTCCTAAGGTAAATCTCTCCTAGTACCCCTGGTAGAAAAGGACCAGACTATGAGGCTGCCTCCTTGGGACCCCAGCTCAGCAGCTCCTAACAGATGTTCATTGACTCAACAGAACCATCTCCCTACCTCCCTCTCAAACAAATGTCTATGTTCTGGGGCCCTGGGAAACAGCCCAGTGTTTTCCTGAAGAGTACCTTTTGCATAAAAGTCAAGGAAGCTATTGGGGATTTTCTATTTTTCTGGAAAAGAGGGCGCTGAAACTGTCCAGGGGTTTGAAAGTATTCACCTTTTATACATTCTCCAAGTGGATTCAAACCTCAGGGGGTTAAAGAACACAGCATCCAATATGCAAATATGCCTGCAGCCAGGATTGTGGAGGTGAGAACTCCAGGCTGACAGCAGGCAATTCACACTTCAGAAAAGTGGCAGAGTGCCTGAGGTGGTTAGGAAAAAAAAAAAACCTGAACAAAAAAAACCCCTCAATGTCATCAGAAGGTTCCAGAAGCTAAGGAAAAGTGCTCTTGGCTTTCTCTATACACAAAATTTCCTCATAGCCTAGGAGATTCAGGACCAATGTGCCAAAAAAGAATTTCCAGATAAATGGCTATGCTGATGTAGTTCAATATATTCATCATAATGCTACTGCAAACAGTTAACTCCAAAAGCCTTCACAGTTTATTTGCTTGCTTATTTTCTTTATTTTTTGTGGTGCCAGATTGAACCCCAAAACCCCATACATTCTAGTTAAGAGCTCTACCATGGACCTTTGCCCTCAACCATACTAATTTTTGCATAAAGGATTCCCTGAATCTTCCTCCAGACATTCCTTACAGTCTAAAACCCTTTAAAAATAGTGTTTCAAGTCACCAAGTTGTCAATTAAGTATCAATACTGTGTTAGCTACATTGTGCAAGGTTTTTTGTTTGATTTTTTGAGACTGGGTCCCCCTGTAGCTGGCCCACCCTATGTAGATCAGGCTGGTTTCGATCTCTGCCTGCCTCTTCCTCCCAAGTATGGGATTAAAGGTGTGTGCCACCACACCTGGCTCTGTGCAAGGTTTTTGACAGCTAGTTTCTAATGTTACAGGCCACCTTCTAAGGCCAGGCATGGTGGCACATGGCTATAATCCCAACATTCAGAAGACTGAAGCTGGTGGATCTTGGCCCAGGTCACCATGCCCAGCTAAAACCAGATATTAAAAGGTTAAGCCAGGCATAGTGGCACATGCCTGTAAATCTGTTTTTGGAAGGTAGAGAGAGGCAGGAGGATTAGGAGATCAAGGCTAGCCTTTGCTACATACTGAGCTTGAGGTGATCCTGTCTGAAAAAAACAAACACAGAAAAAGATTAGGGGACTTGGAGAGATGGTTAAGAGAACTACTACTCTTGCAGAGGACCTAGGTTCAGTTCTCAGCACCCACATCAGGCAGCTCAAAACTGTAATTCCAGTCCAAGGGGATTTAATGCCCTCTGGCCTCTGAGAGCACCTGTAGCCACATAAACTCACATAGACATACACATACACATAAATAAAAATAATAAAAATTTTAATTACGTCTCCCTATAGCCCCAGCTAACCTGGAACTTGCTATGTAGATCAGGCTGGCCTCAGAGGGTGTTGGATTCCCTGGAACTGGAGTTAAGGAAAGTTGTCAGCAACTGTGTACGTGCTGGGAACTGAAGAACTCAGATCCTCTGCAATAGTCAGTGCTCTTAACTTCTGAGCCATCTCTCCTGCCCAAAACTAATTTTTTATAAAAAGAAAGGTTAGCCAGGCGTGGTGGCACATGCCTTTAATCCCAGCACTTGGGAGGCAGAGGCAAGCAGATCTTTGTGAGTACCAGGACAGCCTGGTCGACATAGTGAGTTCCAGGACAGCTGGGACTACAAGGAAACCCTGTCTCAAAAAAAGACAAAAAATAAAAAATAATAAAATAAAAAGGTTAAAATACTTGTCCAGTGGCATAGCTGGCATGGATTTGAATCCAAATAAATTTAACTCCAAAGCCTGTACTTTACCTTTAACAGCTCTGATTTTCATGACAGAATAGGGCTTAGGGCACACTCGGCCCTGAGAGCATGCACAAATGATTTATGAAATCACCTTGTTTAAAAATGCTTGGTCTTCAATCTGTATTCACCTGGAGGTTAAGATGTCTAGCTGGAAACTCCATCAAACAGGTTTTAGGTAGGATGGAGGTCTTGTAACCAAAGAAGACTCAGCTGGGGAGAAGTATAGCCTGTGGCCCCTAAAAGTGCCTACTTGCCAAAGGTGTTCATGACCACACTGCTGTTTTCTGGAAAACAGGAACCTAAAACCACATGTTGAAATCCATACCTGATAGTCTAGGGATTGAAAACACTAAGGAGTGGACATGCCCTTGATGCTAACCTTATACAAGAATACAAGCATCTAACTTAGGGTCCTGGTGCCTAGCAAACTTGGCCAGACCAGTGTGAGGAGGAAGGCCAACTCTGCTTGCTCATAAGCGACTCCATGTGATTACTGACTTTCTTTCATTTCCCACATCACATTCATTTCATTGCCTTCTCTCCGATTCCCCAGCTTCTTTGCTTTTAGAATGTACAATAAGGCATCCATCTATGAATAAAGCTCTCATAACACTATAAAGAGGAAAAGAAATTTTAAAAAGATCCTTGATTGTATGAAAAAAAATTGAAACAAAATACTCCTTCAACTGCATTTTTCTGTGGGCAACTGCCACCCTCTTTTGCAGGAAGCCAAGCTACTGAATCATTCTGCAATTGTGTCTATTTGGCTGAGAGAGGAACCAGATTTTTACCTGTATTGGCATACTGGCTTCTAGGATCATGCCAAAGTCAGACAAGGTTGGGACAAAAATATTTCATATGGAAAAATTTGTTAAGTGGACTTTTACTGCCACCTGCTGTTCAATTCTGGAAGCAACCTTCAGTAATTCTGATAATGTCTATGGAGGGATTTCCTCTACTCATCTAATGTGTGCTAAGTGTGTCCTATATGACAGGATTGAAGGATGGATGTCAAACAGAATATGGCAAAGCTCTTTCTAGAGGTTCACAGCCTAGTGAAAGCAAGAGCAGTCAAACAGATGTTACAATGTGTTTCATGCATCATAAGGGCCTATATAAGACAGTGAAAAAGGATCTTTAGGTTTAAGGGGCACCCCATAAGGATGTGTGTTTTTTATGTGGGTGCTAGGGATCAAACTCTGGTCCTCATGCTTGCACAGCAGACAATTTGTGTCTAGACTGAGACACCTCCCCAACTCTGTCATAAAGATTTTGAAGGTTGGCTGCGTTTACCAGGCACAATAAAGGTGGAGGCAAGAGGGCACTCTAGGCCAAGGAATGAGTGTGTGCAAAGACCTCAAGGACAAAACATTTCACTGGTAAACTGCTTAGTTTATATTCTCTAGACAATAAGGACTACAGGTTTTAGGCAAGAGTGTATTTTGGCTAGACTGACATTTTACAAAACATTGAGGCAGCAAGCAAAATGGAGAACAAACTGGAAGTTGTGACTGAGGGCAAAGAGACCTGCTACAAGCTTATTTCAACAGGCTGTAACAAATATGAAACTAGATGAAAATAGAGCCTTACTAGAAAGGAAAGGAGGGGGTAAATCTGAGATATCTCAATTAACGTTAACATTGTTGGTATTTGTCTAAATGAGAGATTTCATAAGTTCAAGGGAAAGGGAAAGAACTTGGTTTGGGCAACTGGGTGACGGGAAAACTAACCATTTCCTTTTGAACCAAGTTGAAGTGCTATGGACTGCCCACCATGAGGCAAATGGCCGGAAAGGTCAGTGGTGTCTCATCCTATCTCTTCACTACCTGAGTTGGACATTTTCTGTTAGAAAAAGTTGGTTTCCACCATAGGTACTTCTGCACCTACTTCCCTTGATTTTGAGCAAGTGCCCCTGTGTAATCACTTTGCAATCTAGTATTCCAAGAACTTTCTCTCTTTCACTCCAAAACAGTACAATGTAACACAGTAAAGTATGCTGTGAGGGAAACCAAGCTACTGAATTTAGTAGTTATTTGGAGGAAGACCCTTTGTTATTTGTAATTTCATGGTTGGAGAGTTTAAAATTATGCATATATAGGGTCTGACATCAGAGATACTGATTATATGAGTCACTCATATTTGAATCATAAAAGTCACCTGAAATCCTCTGTATTTTATTGGCACACTCAACTTTTACTGTTTTTTTTTTTTTTTTTTTTTTTTTTTTTTTTTTGAGACAGGGTCTCCCTGTAGCCCCAGCTGGCCTGGAACTCACTATATAGACTCCTTGAACTAACTGAGATCCCTTTGCCTCTGCCTCCTGCCTCCCGGGACTAAAGGTGTGTGCCACCACGCCTGGCTGATAGTTGAATTTTTAATATACATATTTCAAAAATTCTCTTTTGAATACTGGATTTATTTCCTTATTCATTGGTAAGAATTACCTTTAATCCTTAACTAAAAAATTTTGGGTTACATCGACTACTCCATTACAGTAAGTACACATTAAGCTGTTTAAACCACATACATGCTGGCTAATATATTTGTTATTATGAAAATGATAGCGCCCCCCCCCCATCCCACAGCTCTTTGAAAAGTTACTCTTTACTAGGCATCATGTCAAATATTTTACCTTCATTTTTTTTTTCACTTATTCTTCACTGCAACCCATGGAGGCATTATTGCTATTTTTCAGAAGAGGAAAAAAAAATAACTCAGAAGGTTTTGGTAGTCATTCAAACGCAGATATGCCTAACATCATTCATCTTAACCTCCACTGTCACACTTGGCATTTGACAGTTTGATTGTATCCTATTTTGAGCGGTTGCCCCCTTTTTTTCCCTCCTTAAGGTAGTGGGCGTCTTTTGACTTATTTTAACTGAGTAGTATTCATTCAATTGGGCAACAAAGCGAAATCGAGGCCTACGGAGATCTCGGTTGGAGCGCCAGGCCCTAAACCTAGACCCAGCCGTCCCTGGGATTCTTAGGATCCACTCATCCCACCGCTCGAAGATGACAAGCGAGGATTACTGGGCCACTGAACCTTCTCCGGGGGAAGGCAGATAAGCTGAGGTCCTGCGAGTGGCTGGGGCCCGGCCTACCCACATCTCACTACCTGCTCGGACCACGCTCGGAAGTCGACTGCAGGCCCCCACAAGCTCACTTTCTCCCCAGACGCGCCCCTGGGCTACTTACCTTAGCAGGCAGGTAGGAGGTGGGCCCCAAGGAAGCACACCAGCCAATCAGAAGAGCCTGGCCGCGCTCCAGGGGACCAATAGAACTGGACATCAAGCGCTTCGACCCGCCTTTGAGGTGCCGGTCTCTCTCCGAGAATGTCGCGAGATCTTTGCTCTGGCGGAACTATTGGTGGGAAGATGGCCCTGGAGCCACGCCCTCTGCTTCTTCGGATCACTGATTGGCCGTCTAGAGGAGAAGGCGGCAAACGACAGCGAACTTCCTGAATGCCCATTGGTCGGCGACGTGGGGCATGCTGGCTCGCGGGCGTCGGCGCGGCGTTCGAACTGGCGCTTGGCGGCGTTGCCATGGGGACGTGGCCTGGCCGCTCTGAAGCGGGTTGACAGGACTCTGGTCGCCCGGCCTTTGGGGCTTACTTCAAAGGGTCGGCGTCATTTTCTCCTGTCCGGCGAGCCACTAGACTGAGGAAGAGTCCGGAAACCCCCAGGGTGAGAAAGGCGGCGGGAGCCGGGGCGGAGCGGCTCGGGGCGCAGCCGTAGCGCCTGCGCGGGGGAGGCGCGCCGGCCTGTGGAGCGGCGCTAGCGGAGGCCGGTGTGTCTGCAGGGTTGCTGAGACTCGGCGCTTCAGACGGCTCACCCGCGCGCCTGCGTCTTCCGGGGCAGTTGCCTTGAACACCACTTTCTTGTGGCTTTTCTGAGGCCCCAAAGTCCTCTTGCCTCCGAAGCCCTTTAAGAGCCCGTCTATTCGATTTAGGATTATTTCCGGTAACCCTACTCCCCTCCCTTCTCACATGTAATTTTGAAGTCGTTGAGATAAGACAAGGTTTTGCAAAATGTTTTACTTATAGAAGTTTTTAGGAAATACCTGTTAGTTGAATTCACTATAAATAGACTAGATTCTTTATTACTTATTCCAATTCAAAGATTATTTTGGGGGGAGGAGGGGAGTAGGTGGGAGAGGATACCCAAATCTCAGATGCAGAAGAGCCTGAAAATTCAAGCTTGGCATTTCCAGTGTCGAAGGTAAATTGTGAATTGATTGCTACAGCTCCTCCAATATCGTGACTTTAGTTCTGGTCTCTCAAAACTTTTTAAATTTGCTTAAAATAGACCATTGTGTTGTTATACCTCAGGATTTTATCACATTTTATTTAGTGACCTACAACAATTGCCACATTTTTTTAAGCATTTAAAAATATTTTATTTATTTTTACTTAATATGTATGCGTGTGTTGCCTGCATGTAGGTAAGTGCACCCGTGTCATGCAATGCCTGTGGAGGACAGAAGCTGTGGTATCTCCTGGAACTGGAGTTATGGACAGTTGTTAGTTGCCATGTGTGTGTGCTGGGATTCGAACTTGGGTCTTCTGCAAGAACAGCCAGTGTGCTTAACTGCTGAGCCATCTCTCCAGCCCCCAATTGACATATTTTATCTGTGCTTTAGAACATGTTATTATTTGAGGGATTTTTGTTTGTTTGTTTTTTGTCTTTTTGAAGCAAGATCTCTCTGTAGCCCCAGAGGTCCGCCTGCCTCTGCCTCCCAAGTGCTGGGACTACAGCCGTGCGCTGCCACGCCCGGCTTATTATTTGAGTTTTAAATTACTTTATATGTGTGTTCCTCTGTGTGTGTGTGTGTGTGTGTGTGTGTGTGTGTGTATGTGTCTGTGTTTACAGGCATGTGTGTGCCACAGCACTTGTGTGAAAGTCAGGAAACAACTTTCAGGAGTTGGTTCTTGCCTTCCATCCTGTCGAGGCAGGGTCTTCTTACCACAGACTACCTGGCCCACCAGGTTCCCAGCAATTCTCTAGTCACTGCTTACCATCTCTGTAGGAATGCTGGGGTTACAGATATGTACTACCCCATCTGGCCTTTTATGTGGGTTCTGAGACTGGAACTCAGGTCATCAAGTTTGTGGGCTAAGTGCTTTTACCTGTTGAGCCATTTCTCCAGACCCCCATTAAAAACTTTTGATTCTGAGCAGGGCCTGGTGACACTTGCCTTTGATCCCAGTCCTTGGGAGCCAGAGGCAAGTGGATCTCTTTGAATTTGAGGCAAGCCTGGTCTGCATAGCAAGTTCCAGGCCAGTTGGGGTTACAGGGAGACCCTGACTCAAAAAGACAAAATAAATAAATAAATAAAAACTTTTGATTCTATGTTTTTGTTTTTGTTTTTGTTTTTGAGATAGGGTCTCCCTGTAGCCCCAACTGGCCTGGAACTCACTATGGAGACCAGGCTGGTCTTGAACTCACAGAGATCTGCCTGCCTCTGCCTCCCAAGTGCTGGGACTAACAGTGTGTGCCACCACACCCAGCTGATTCAATGTTTTTAATGAATTTTTTTTAGCTATTCATAGTATCTCCATTAGGGAAATCTCTCTCTCTCTCTCTCTCTCTCTCTCTCTCTCTCTCTCTCTCGCCGGGGGGTCTCGCCTTATAACCCTGGCTGACCTGGAACTTGCCATGTAGACCAGGCTATCCTGATTTCATAGAGATCCACCCACCTCTGCCTCTCAAGTGCTGAGATTAAACATGCATGTGTTGGGTGGGGGGGAACATGCATGTGCATCCCTACAGCCTTGGCTGGCTGGCTGGCTGGCTGGCTGACTTCCTTCCTTCCTTCCTTCCTTCCTTCCTTCCTTCCTTCCTTCCTTCCTTCCTTCCTTCCTTCCTTCCTGATCAAGTATTCAAGGTTTGTGTCAGCAGGTGAGAAAGCAAAGTGCAAAGTTTAATAAATGCAGAGGAGGGTGGACCAGGCAGAGTGACACTAGCCCAGAGTTTTATATACTGTGTGCTGCCCAGTATATAAGTATATACTCACACTTGGAGTATTGTGGTCATTGTATGCCTCCTGAGTTAATGTCTCAATGGATTTGGTATTCACATCCCATTCAGACAGATTTTTCTAGGCGTACAAACAAAGAAGTACCATAAACGGTTGAATGTTGTATATTTATGTATCACACACTAAAGTGGTTTTGAGTCAAGGTCTCACTTTGTAGTTTAGACTAGTCTTGAACTACTCTGTAGCCCTCATGGAGATCCTCTTGCCTCAGCCACCCAAGTGCCAGGACTAAAGGTGTGAATCACCATCAACCTGCTTGGACCTCTGAACTTAGCACTTAATTTACATTTTTCCAGTTAGTTCACATGGAAGCAAAAACACCTTTTCCAAATCATCGTTTTTTGTCTATTCAATACTACCTGTATGATTTCTCTCCTTCCATTTTTTCCGTACCCCCCCACCAACACAGTGTTTATTTTTTAATTTTTTTAATTTTTCAACTCTGTAGCCCCAGGGGCCCTGGAACTCTATATGTAGACCAGGCTGACCTTGATCTCACAGAGCAAGCTTCTGCCTCCCAAGTGCTGGGATTAAAGACCTGTGGCACCATGTTCCGCTAATGGAAAGGTTTTGATAGCAAAGGGCTGAGGCTATAGCTCAGTTGGTAGAGTGCTTGCCTAGCATGCATGAAGCCCTGGGTTCAGTCCGCAGAGGCACATAAAACCAGGCATAGTGGCGAATACTTGTAATCCCAGCACTTGGGAAATGAAGGCAGGAGGGCCAAAAATTCAAAGTCATTCTGGGCCTCCTATGGAGGGTAATCCCAGCACTTGGGAGGCAGAGGCAGGCAGATCTCTGTGAGTTCAAGGCCAGCCTGGTCTACATAGTGAGTTCCAGGCCAGCTGGGGATACAGGAAGACCCTGTCTCAAAAAGACCAAAAAACAAACAAACAAAAAAACAAAAACAAAAAAAGCCCAATAAAACAAAAAATACCCATGAAAGTATCTATTTTACTGTGAAATGAACTTAGCTAGTATTTTGAAAATAAGGCAGTTAATAATAGTACCCAGGCCAAAATTGCTAGTTGAGATTTCACCAGTATGAGGAACAAAGCTATACCTGTTGTAGTCTTTTTAGTTAGCCATCTGTTTATGTTGAAATACAGTTGGTTAAAGCTAGTGGTGTAGAATAGTGTGGCCAATATATAGAGATCCATTTACTCTTTTAGCAAAGAGTGTTTTGCTAATGTTGTTTTGAATAAATGAATTTTTTTTGTCTTTTTTGAGTCAGGGTCTCCCTGTAGCCCCAGCTGGCCTGGAACTCACTAAGTAGACCAGGCTGGCCTCGAACTCAGAGATCCTCCTGCCTCTGCCTCTTGAGTGCTGGGACTAAAGGCATGTACCACCATGCCCTGCTGAATAAATGCCTCAATTTATCTTATTTGTAAAAAGTGGAGATGTTTGCTACTCTTTCATAAAAAGTATTGGAAGATTAATTGGGTGGCACCATTACATGTTAGTAATTTAGATCACAGGGAATGGAGTTATTTTTAAATTGTTTGCTGCTTTCTCAGTGTCATTCCTTTGGGAGTTATTCCTGGTTTCATAGGGGCAACTCTTTCCAAAGGGGTAGAACCCTAACTGAACTCCTAATATCTTCTGTAATTTATAAAAACTGACTTTAATAGTTATTTTTGCAGTTAAACACATGAGATAAAATTTGTTGACATATTTTATGACTGTAACCTGGCAAATTTTGTAAGTGACAAATTCCTGAGATTGAATTAGATCAAGATTTTAAAAATTAAACCATTGAATTTAAACCCAGCATTGGTTACCACCTATTCCTGGGAATTTGTTCAAAGTTAAGCCTCTGTATTTAGAGTAGTAATACTTGCATTGATTTAAGATAACTGAATTCTGCAAATTGGTTATGTTTGTTTTTAGGTGATTACTCCCAAGCTTTTCACCAAACTTACGAACTTCATAAACCCATTGAGGGGGTCTTGAAGCAAATTGCAGTACTTGCAAAGCATTAACTTGTTAACCATGAATGAACTTGAAACTAATTTTTTAGTTACAAACAGAAACAATCTCTCAAACTAGTTTTTAAAAATATTTTTATAGCCAGGCATGGTGGTGCATGCCTTTAATCCCAGCACTTGGGAGGCAGAGGCAGGTGGATCTCTGTGAGTTCAAGGCCAGCCTGGTCTACATAGTGAGTTCCAGGCCAGCTGGAGCTACAGGGAGACCTTGTCTCAAAAAGACAAAAAAAAATATTTTTATTTATTTTATGTGTATGAGTATTGCCTGCATGTATGTAAGTGCACCCATGCCGTGCAATGCTCATGGAGGTCAGAAGAGGGCATTGGAGCCCCAGAAACTGGAGTTATAGATGATTGTTAGCCGTCATGTGGGTATAGTATGGAATCAAACCTGGGTCCTTTGCAAGAGCAGTCAGTGCTCTTAACCACTGAGCCATATCTCCAGCCCCAGCTTTTTTTGTGTGTTTTTTAATGCAAGTGTATTTGTCAAAATTCATAGGACTGTACATTTAAAATGAGCAGTTTATTGTGCAGAAATCAATTAAGACCACATATACACAAGATATACATACATCAGGGGTTCCTTTTGATATGTAGCATCATTTAATAGCTCCATATTAGTAGTAATAAGGCTTTTTATCAACTATATCAATGATAAAAAA